AAGTTCATGAACTTTTAACTGGGTGGAATTCTGATGTCATTTCCAGTATTGGGATCCATAGCACGATGCCAACATGCCTGTCTTATTAAATTGGAATTTTAAGGATAGTTTTGCCTTTGACTCTGATTTAATTCTGCATATTTGGAACGCTGACGCCTGTCTTGTTAAACCGTTGTATGGCCTTGGCCACCATGCTGCAGCTCAGTTTCAGGATCTTGGCAATCTTCTTATAGCCTAGGTCATCTTTATGTAAAGCATCAATACGTTTTTTCAGATCCTCAGCGAGTTCATTTCTATGAGGTGCCATGTTGAACTTCCAGTAACCAATGAGAGAGTGACAGCGATAACACCAAATTTAACACACCTGCTCTCCCTTCATTCCTGAGACCTTGTAACACTAATGAGTCACATGACACCAGGGAAGGAAAATGGAGCTACTTGGGCCCCATTCGGACATTATCACTTAGGGGTGTACTCACTTTTGTTGCCAGAAAGTTAGACATTAATGGCTGTGTGTTGCGTTATTTTGAGGGGACAGCACATTTACATTGTTATACAATATAAGCTGTATACTCACTACTTTATATTGTAGCCAAGTGTCATTTCTTCAGTGTTGTCGCATGAAAAAATGTACTTAAATATTTTCAAAATGTGAGAGGTGTACACACTTCTGTGATATACTGTATGTTTCCAAAATTTCTCTGTGAAACAATATGAAAAAATGCTCTTTATTTTCACCACAATCCTCACTGCCTAATAATTTTCCCTAGTTCTTTTAAAGACCTTGGAAAATCCTAAAAACTGTAGGTCTTCCTCTCCTGGAAAAGAAACTCAGCTCACTAATGCTTTCTGTAATTCATATCTCTCCTATAATATCATAAATATTTAATAAGAAAGTATAGCATGTCATACTTACTTCCAACTGACCACCCCATGAAGCAGTGTTTGCTATATCAGAACAGTATTTTTCAAATTCCTCTGCAGGAAAAAAAAGCATCACATTTTAAAAAAACATAAAAATTGGGCGGAAAGGAAAAATCTAAAAAATTTAAAAAAATAGAATGGCAAAAGGAAGCTTGTAGAATATAAACACTTGTGAAATAAAACATAAAGCAAAAGAAAAATCAAAGATTTACATACACTACCACTCTCAAAAAAACAAAACAGATAATGATGACAAAGGTATGAAACAGGAAAAAAATTGAAAGGTTTATTTGATAAAGTTTAATAGTAAATTTTTATTGTGCCTAATTAGTAAGTTTTCATGTTCTGAGATGTATCCCTATGGTTCAGAAAAAGTACTACAGATATCATTTTTACCATCTTTTTTAGTTATGAACAAAGATAATACATGCTAAGATTTGTTTTTACTTAAGACTGTAAATAATGGGTTTTTTATGTTTTAGAGATTGATTTGTTTACCTCTACCCTAAAGATGTTGGGTGTACATATACATACATATTTGTATGAATGTAGCAGAGAGAGACAAAAACATCAATAAACATATTAAGACAGAAAAGTGGGCTGTGTATTTATAATAGGTAGTTGTATGCAGGATGGGATGGGGAATTCTGGCAGTTGATGTCTACACATCTTAAAGTTGCCAACTTTGAAAAACGCTGTTGTGCAGATTATACAACACAGCTAAGTATCTGAAGCATATTGAAACTTTAATTATTTTTTAATTAGGAGACCTTTACTTACCTTGGCTGTACAAATCTCCGGTATTTGGGTTTGTCAGAAATGGAAGGAAGTCATCCACGTGACTTCTCATATACTCTGCAGTTTGATTTCTGAGTGTTGAAACTGTCCACAGGTTTTGTTGCTCTTTGAGCTGATCTTCAATAGCTCTATATAGGCAATGACCATCAGATGGGATTTGCTTAATTTCCAATTGCCTTAAGGCTAAAATGTTTGCAAGTTTCTGGCTTTCAAGATGCCTAGCACCTGTTAAATTTTCTATCTCAGCTTCTGCTATTCTTTCTTCTCTTTCCTTTTCCAGAGCTGCTTTTTTATCCTGCGATGAAACACAGCAAAACACTGCAGATTTACATTAGTCCATGCTATATTTTAATTCAGCCTATGGAGTTTAACCTTCTCGGGTATTTATGATATTATATTAGACAACTTGTACCCTGTTGGGTCATCATTTTAGAGATATTTCCTTACCTAAACAGAGAAATAGAATAGCTAAGGGAAGTCCAAAAAAGCAAGAGCAACTTCTGATTCCCTAACGGCTTCCACATTGAGTTTCCTTGTGGGATATGGCAGGGAGCAAGGAAAACCAACCCTCCTTCCTTCCCTCCTTTCCTTCTTTTGCAGGAAGGAAAGTGACTGCTGCTGGGTGGGGAGAGAATGAGGGATTGCGAGACTGGCTTGGAAACTGTTACGGAATGCTGAGAATGAAGATTACATGATTACAGCAAGAGCAGCCCAGCAGCACTAAAGTAGCCATAACTTTCCCAAATTTCATTCCCTCGGGAGTCGTGGCTTCCAGATTTTGGACACATTCTGAATGTTAGTTCATCTAAGGTACCTTGGCTCAAAAACTGTTGCCCTATGATGTACTACCCCAGTTAAAGGTCATGACAACAAGAGTTTTAGTAATATATAGATTCAGTTTGGCTAACAAGGGTTGAATAAAATGAGCAAAATACTAAGTCATAATATTGTTTGTTCAATACTGTACAGACATTTTATCAAGACATTTCAGTTGCACAAAGTCTGCTTTTCAAAAGAAACTTTCAAATAAAAAGACAGTCATATGTTTTCAAGTCCAGCTTGCTGAACTAAAGAGCAAAATCAGTTTGCCTGAAGATTTATCCTTTGTGATTTTTTGTCCTTTACTATTCATCTCAGAATAATATTTCACAGCATTTTAAACTACACTTTCCAGAGGGATTCTAATGATATAATGTGTTGTTAAATGTGTTTCCTAACAATGTTATCTTTGGTTATTAATCAGTGGCATTTAATTGGCAAACTAGTATGTTTGTCACCAGTAAAGTACAAGCAGAGTTCTGTAGATATTAAGCTATCAGATTTTGGCAGTCCTGTTATAAGTCGTTGTCTTATTATTACTTCATGAAAAAGAAATTGGAAACATTTGATAGAATCCAGAATCACCTTTAGCAGAAATATGCCTTTGGGATTGAAGGAATCTCTCCGTCATCCTACAGCAGTGATGACGAACCTTTTCGGCACCAAGTGCCCAAACTGGAACATGCGTACACTGGAGTGTCAGAAACCCAGAAGACCAGCTGGCCGGTGTGGATGTGTGTGCCAGCCAGCTTGCCTTTGGGTTTCCAGTGCGCGCATGCACGCTGGCCGGCTGGTCTTGGGGTGTGCTGAAATGGCATGCACACCCGGCCAGCTGGTCTTCGGGTTTCTGGTGCTCCAGCGCATGTGAAGACCACCTGCCCGGTGCATATGTGCATGCTGGAAAGCAGAAAGGTAGGTGGCAATGCCACACGTGCCCACAGAGAGGGTTCTGCATGCCACCTCTGGCACGCGTGCCATAGGTTCACCATCACGGTCCGACAGTCTCTAGACTGCTCTCTGGAGGCATGGAAAATCATCTGGAATAAAACGAGGAATAGCACAATGGGAAGAAGTAATAGGAAAATGTAGATCCTTGCCCACATACCTCTAAACCCTCAAATATGGCAGTCGTAGATTGGAAAGTATCTATTTTACAAGTAGTCCTCAACTTTTGACCACAATTAGGACCAGAATTTCCATTGCTAAACAAAGTGACTGTTAATTGAGTTGCACCACATTTTAGGAGTTTTTGCCATAATTATTTAGTGAATCACAGGAGCTGAGTGAATCGTGTGATCATTAAGCAAATCTGCCTTGCCCTACTGACTTTGCTTGGCTTTGAAAGTTGCAAAGCTGTGGTGGTTAGAATGCAGTACAGCAGGCTACTTCTGCTATCTGCCGTTGCCAGCAGTTTGGTAGTTCGATTCTCACCCGGCTCAAGGTTGACTGAGCCTTCCATCCTTCCAAGGTCAGTACAATGGGGACCCAGATTGTTGGGGGCAATATGCTGACTCTGTAATCTGCTTAGAGAGGGCTGTAAAGCACTGTAAAGTGATATGTAAGTCTAAGTGCTATTGCAATTGCAAATGGCATTCACGTGACTCCAGAACACGGCAGCTGCCAAGCACCCAGATTTTGTTCCCGTGATTATGGGAATGCTACAATAGTCATTAAGTGGGAGGACTGGTTGGACATCATTTTTCTCAGTCCATTGCAACTTTGAATGGTTGTTAAACAAATGACTGTAAGTCAAGGACTATCTGAATTTCAGATGGACAAATGCAGGCAAAACAACACATAATTTCAACTAATTATTTCTGTGCATATTATTTTTCCCTTTAATTGTGAAACAATGCAACAGATCTGGGGAAACCATTATATGTTTGTCTCTACATTAATTCAGTGTCTTGTAGAATAATCCTTGGGATTTGGGACTGGAATCAGGTTCTAGAATCATCCCATAGATACCACATTAAAGATTATACCTTGCACTTCATTGTAAAACCTACTCACAATCTAATGAATTAACACTGAAATAATCTTACCCGCCTCTTCTGTGCTTTTGATATTCTAGCAGGCTGGGTCTGTTCTCTGCTCTCAATTTCCAGTTTTGCAATATTTAGACTTGCCAGATATTCCTAAATAATAAATAAAAATTATTTAAGATATTTCACAAGGAATTTTTATAGCCCTTCAATTTTAAAAGAAGTTATGTTTAAAGTTTCATAATCTTCACTGTCTCCTGATATTTTACACCATTTCTACTACAGCCATCATTCTCTTTTACATGATTCTGTGCTAATTCTACCTCCCAGTTAGTTTGAGAGACTTTTTTTCTTCTGGCAAGTGGCCAACCAGAGAACCCTAACTATCAGAAATTCTCTTAAATCCCATTATATTTGGGATAAGAATGAAATAGACAAGTTTTACATTTCTGATGCACCTGATCCCAACATGCAGCACTAAGTTCCTACTAAAATCAGAAAACTATAATCCCAGGGCTAATAAATATAGGTTGTCCTCAGGTTACAACAGTAATTGGGATTGCAACTTCTGTTATTAAATGATGCAATCATAAAATATGATATCACATGACTGCATCACTTAGCAACAGAAATCTCAGCAGCCCCTGTTGCCATCCTTAACTGAATCCCACCAGGGGTTAGTAAAGGATCCACCCTGACCCAAACCATTCTTGCCTTGAGCCCGACCAGCTCTAAGACTCAATAAGATAAGGGACTGCCTTCTCTTCAATCCCCCACCCCCTATCTCCCATCTATGCCCTTTTAGCTGCTCTGAACAGTAGCACTTCTAGGCAGTGGTGGTGCTAGAGACCCATGTCCTTCAACTCTTCAGCTGCCAGTGCTCTCATACTTCAGTCTCAGTATCAACAGCACTGCCACTGTCGTTGAGTGCCACCTCAAACCCCGTGCCACAGTCAGCCATCCCAGTGCCACAGCACAAAGGCCCCATTGCTCTGGACTCAGCAGGCCCTGCTGCCCCAGATATCCTTCAGTTTCCTTCCTTCTAAAGCTGACAAAGTGCACAGCCTGGCCTTATGTAAGGTAGTGGCGGAATAGGAATAGGATAACAGAGTTGGAAGGGACCTTGGAGGTCTTCTAGTCCAACCCCCTGCTTACGCAGGAAGCCCTACACCATTTCAGACAAATGGTTATCCAAATCTCTTTTTTAAAACTTCCAGTGTTGGAGCATTCACAACTTCTGGAGGCAAGTTGTTCTACTGATTAATTGTTCTAACTGTCAGGAAATTTCTCCTTAGTTCTAACTTGCTTCTCTCCTTGATTAGTTTCCACCCACTGCTTCTTATACTTCCCTCAGGCGCTGTGGAGAATAGTTTGACTCCCTCTTCTTTGTGGCAGCCCCTGAGATATTGGAACACTGCTATCATGTCTCCCCTAGTCCTTCTTTTCATCAGACTAGACATACCCAGTTGTAGCAACCGTTCTTCATACGTTTTAGCCTCCAGTCCCCTAACTGACTGGCTGTGCTAGGCCTTCTTCCTGAGTCCATGTGCACTTTCTCCAAATCTTTTTCTGCCTTCTTGCAATGGCTGATTTTCTCATTCTCTTTCAGTTAGAGAGAAAGAATGTTTTACTAAGAACAGTTGCTTCCATCTAACCTTAAGGTTCCATCTTGTGAGCTCTAGAACTGTACGCCTACTCTTCCACAAAAATTACCTTATTCCTCCAAACTTGTGTAAATTTTATACAAAATCACTGCAAAGTGTCCAACTGTATTTCCCAGTGATTGCTCATTTGTTTTACTTGTAACAAGTGGCCAACAAACAAGTTCAAAACACAACAATTTTCAGAATGAAAAAGTCCTTAGCAATACTTTAAAAACACACGACATTTTTAGTAACTAGAAATACAACAAACTCAAGGTATCTCAAAAACAAAAGCTGCATACTTTATTCTGTTCAGGTAATGTTTCTTTCAACTTCTTTAATTCCTCTTTGTGCTTCTCTTCCAACTCAGACTCCAGCTTGCCAACATCATCCAGCAGCTGTTTTCTTCTCTTTTTATCATTCTTTGGAACAGTGTTTTTCATTCCCTGGATTTTGGCTACAGAAGCAAAAACAGGTGAGATCAATGAAAAGCATCTCACATTATTCTTGTCATTATTCATGATTTGAGTTTAACAAAAAAAACCTATCTTACACATGCATATTAAATCAAATAAAACTGCAGTAATTGAATTTCAGAAAACATCCTTCTCAAAAGAATGAAAAATTATCTCAGTCTTACTACTATATTACTTCCTACTAACACAATTCAAAACATAAAATGAAATTTAATTCATGCTGATCCAAAACTCTTAATTTTCAAAAATCAAAGGCAATTGACATGCATGATTAAAACTAGACTGTATTATGTAGCTCTGCATTTTATAGTCAGGATACAATTTAGCTCATTAGTTTGAGGTGCCTGTGTTTTGATGGGAAATGGTTTCCTTTTTTGTAAATAAATATGTGACACAAGATATTGTAAGTACATGTAGTTGTGGGTCATGCAAGACCTGATCTGAATTCTTTCAGTCTGTCCTATGAAGACAAAATGCTAACTGGTTACAATAGTTGCTTTTGCTAAACTTGAAATTAAAGTGGAAAGAAAGAGAAAAAATAGTACCATGTTAGATAGATTCAATTATAGTAACATTGGAAGTCATGAAGGACCAGGCTGGTATCTGTCAGTTCATTGATAATGAAATCTATCTATGTGGTTGCTAAGACTTGACATGACTTAATGGTGCATAATCAACAGAAAATTATAGAATCAAAGGGGCTGCTATTAGAAATAACATCTTGTTCTAAATAAAATATTACATTTTTTTCAACAATTTGTACAATTCCTAGTTTTTGTAATTCCCCTTCTTATTTTAAAAATTGAGTTTGAGAGGTATATGTGTATACAGAAATGGTTATTTACTTATTGAGCAAAGAGGCCTCCTAATCCACAGAATAAAATACAAATAATGTGCTTTTGAATATTGCAAATTTCTTGACTCGTGGCTACTGCAAAAAGTGGTATGCATATAAAAATAAGAATTTTTAAAACCATATTCTATTCAAAAGATTGTGTTTAAAATATTATATGGAAGGTTTGATTAATCAAAACTAAAATAAAAGTGTCACTTTTGCCCCAAATACTGCAATGTAGCAAGGCCTGCATCTTAGGACAGCTTCTCATGTCATGTGACAGCAGGAAAGCAGCAGTGCCATCCTTCTCTCCCCTATATGGGACAATGCAGAATAAGTGACGATGCAACAACATGAGTTTCTATGATTCCATTCCTGTCATATTGGTGCAATAACTCAAGAAAATGCCTGTAATAGCAGTTCTGACAGGATCAGTTTAGGATGCTATTTTTCAAAACACTCAAAATTCATTTAAAGCAATTAGTAAATATTTCATGATTTAAATATTTTCTACATTAAAATAAGAGTTTAATTTATTTCACACTGCAATTTAGATTTGGAGTCCTAGAGCCAAAAGGGGCTATTTCCATTTGTACCCAGAAAATCTGAAAGGGTCTACTGGGTTTTTAATATTGTCCTTTCTTATGTTAAGATTTTTATCAAGACATTTATTTCTGTTACCTTTATCCATTGTCGGTATTAAATATTAGTATGAGGCTAGTATTATAATCAATGCATTTCTGCTGTTTTTTTTACACGGCCTCACTTGAGAACTTCTATGCCATTTCTTTTTGAGCCTGGACCTTGTGTGGAAATCTGTTTATACATGTACAACCATATGCTGTACACTCATTATATGTTCACAAATGCTCTGGAGAAACTCTCTCCCAGGAACCTTTTTTGCAAAGTAACATGCTTTTTGATTATAAAAGTGAAGCAGCCATGTCACTTGCTGGTTCAATTCACACTTGCAATTGTTGGAAGGTGCGGCTGCGGCTGTAGAGGTGCCGTACAAGTTGTCTACATGCCGAAGCATCCAGACGTTTCTTCCAGCTTTTGCAAGTGCTCTGTCAAACTATGTCAAAAGCGATGATATGATGTAAAGCGTCTCATTGAGGCATCTCAAATCCCAATGCAGAGACTTCACATACAGTATATACCTGCATGCTCTCACTCATAAGAACACTCATGCAGAGCCTGAAACCCACAAAAGCTCATTAGCCTTGGTACACAGAACTCTGTCCCTCTGCTTAAACGACAAACGTGCCACAAATAAGCCAATTACAACTGAGCTTTCCATACTATGCATCCAACCAACCAACCAACCCATAGTTAGTTTATAGCTTAGCGTGTTACATTATGAATTTAGCCAGAGCGATACTATGATTTAATGTGGTCAAGCAGATCTGGAGAGACTCCAAACCAGGTGCCCCCCCAAAAAAAAACCCTGGAAGCCCACAGGATGCCAGTACTGTTTGTTCTCCCCAACCAACCTACCTATCTACCTGTTCCTACATTGAAGAGGGACTGCTATATGTTGAGCAGCAAGCAAGATAAGATCTCCTTCAAGTTGAGCCAGGTTTGACATTCTCATGTCATCCCCTTGCCAATATTACCTGCCTTCATCTTGGAAGCAGTTTCCCATCTAACCCCGATGTTTCCTTGTGGTCTCTCATTCCAAATATTAACCTGATTTCAACCTATTCAGTTTTTTGGGGGAAACCAGCCACGGTCATTCTAGAAGTTGCCACCTTGCCCTGCCCTGTAAAATATAGCAGGCTAACAATCTGATAAAACTGGGTGGAGCAAATCCTGGGTCAGCGTGTCTTGCCAACATAGCACAGCTGCTCGCTTCGGGATGCAGGTTTCCCCTGCAAGCTTTAAAGACCATTTCTGCAATTTTCCTCCCGCTGCCCGGGTTTGCGCCGCCGCCGCCGCCCTCACCCTGCAGCTCCCGCTTCTCCTTCCGCTGCCGCCTAGCCAACAGCTCCAGCGCGCCGCCCTCCTCCTCCTCTTCCTCCTCCTCCTCCTCCGCCACCGCGGCTGAGCCGCCTCGCCCGCGCCCGTCCATGGCGGATTCAGCACCACCGCCCGGCTGGCTCTGCTACCCACGTGCGGATGAAGGGGGCGGGGCCTGACGAAGGCACACCCCCTACGCACGCTCCGTCCTAGCCCAACCACAGTGCAAAGAGATAAGAAAGTGGGAGGAGCTAGACTGGGGATTGATAGAGCTAGCAGTTAATTAGAGAGGGCAAACTTCAGGGCAAGTTTTGGAAAACGGGTACACTTCAGAGAAAGTTGTCTACCAAGAAATCCCAAGCTCCATAAAACTGTGGGGGGGGGGGGATGAACGGGGACCTAAGTGATAATAAAGTTATTCTATTCAATTGAGGCTTTCCTCTTGAAGGTGGCGTGTTTTTCTGCAAATAATTAATCTGGTTGCGCTGCTGTGGAGCTATGGCAGAATAAATTGTGATGATGGCACAATGATAAATTGTGAACATTTCTCCTCCCTCAAACTTTGTTGTTACTTGAAGTGAAAAACTAGAGAATTAGAAAAACTAGATAATTGGCTGGAGAATTCTGGGAGTTGAAGTCCACAAGTCTTAAAGTTGCCAAGTTTGGGGACCCCTGGTCTAAATCAATGTTTTTCAACATTGGCAATTTAAAATATGTGGACTTCAACTCCCCAAGTTCCTCAGCCAAGCATGCTGGTAGTTAAAGTCTACTCGGTTTAAATTGAAAACTTATATGAGTTTATATATCTATTACGGGAAAGGAAGGAAGAGGGTATGCAGCTAGGGAGAAAAAAACCTCGGACTAAGACGGCGCGCCACCGTATGGCTGTTTGAGATATTGCAACTTCAAGTGGTTTTTCCGCAGCTTCTGCTTTACAGCTTCAAATAAAGAGTCCTTAACGAAGATGTAAAAGTGGCAATGGAGATTTACTGAATTTGGGTTTAAAAATACTTCTTCTCCGAACCAAACTAGAAGGCGAGGCAGGTGAAGAAAGCTAAAACATGGGCATTTTAAAAGAATAAATAGGTCTTCAATGATTAGCATTACAATCCTAGATGGATCTAAGAAAATTCTAGTGAACTCAACAGGAATAGAATTCTTACTATAATTTCATACATATACAAATTCATAACAAGAATACAAATCCACATTCTAAAGAAAAATTAAGACGTTACTAGTCTGTGGCCGTTCAAATGTGTTAAAAATTAAAGACAGTATAGTTACCCAACGCTATTGTATGAATAGCAAGAAACATATTAAAATAATTAGAAATAAGAGTGGATAAAGCAAGCTTTAATGTGGTGGTGGGCAATTGGGTGAATAGGTTGACTCACATAGGGGATCACTTTCAAGAGGAAGAACGTAGAAGCAGCTCCAGAAATATTTTTAGATTATAGTAACTATTTACAGTGTTAGATCCAGTTCACATTTCTAATGAGAACACATTTAAGCCTCAGGACTGAATGTTCTCACATGTATCTAAAAATAACTTGGGAAGAATAACAGAAGGGTTAAAAAGCCATGACAGAAATGCCATACGGAATAAATAATGGAAATGCTACCAAAAACTATAGCAGGACTATGTCATAACACGCTGGCTTATCCTATATGTTGTTGTCAGCATGCAATGATGTAGTCTTGATATAGGGCACTGAGGACCTGGAGAGGAAGCATTTTAGTTAACAAATAATAGAATAAAAGAATTGGAAGGGACTTTGGGGGTCTTCTAGTCAAATCACTTGCTCAAGCAGGAAACCCTATACCATTTCAGACAAATGAATGTCCAATCTCTTCTTTAAAACTTCCAGTGTTGGAGCATTCACAACTTCTGGAGGTAAGTTGTTCCACTGATTAAGTGTTCTGTCAGGAAATTTCTTCATAGTTCTAGGTTGCTTCTCTCCTTGATTAGTTTCCATCCATTGCTTCTCCTGCCTGAGATGCTTTGGCAGCCCCTGAGATACTGGAACACTGCTATCATGTCACCCCTAGTTTTTTTTTTCCATTAAACTACACATACCCAATTCCAGCAACTGTTCTTTATATCTTGGTTAGTAGCTGTAATAACGATTATCCACCTATCAATAGCAATGGCAATAGCATTTAGACTTATATACCGCTCCACAGTGCTTCACACCATAAGTGGTTTACAGAGTCAGCATATTTCCCCAACAATCTGGGTCTTCATTTTAGTGATCTCGGAAGGATGGAAGCTGAATCAATCTTGAACCAGTCAGGATCAAACTGCTGGCAGTCAGCAGAATTAGCCTGCAATACTGCATCCTGACCACTTCATGACCACGGCTCATGATCATCTAACACAGAGTTCCTCAACCTTTCTGGCTTTGCAGCCTGGCCGGAGGTGGGGGAGAAGAGATGGTTATGTACAGATGGTTTCCGGCCAGGGGACGGAGTGAATGGTTCCACACACCGCTTGCATAAATGGAGCATGCATGCATGCTCTCACCCACTGCTCTCACCCATTGGGGCTCTGCAAGCTGATGCACATGCTTGCCTACCACATCCATGACCTGGTTCTGAATGGCTCAAGGTTCGGTAGCTGGCTGCAGCCTGAGGGTTGGGGACCCTGATCTATCATATCTAGTCTATAGTCTGCCTGCCTGCCTGCCTGCCTGCCTGCCTGCCTG